AAGTATGTGGAAGATTTGGCATTGACGGCGGAAAAGGCTGCGAGAGAAGGAAACATGAGACAACTGTATGAAACAACAAAGAAACTCTCTGGAAATCACCGTAAACCAGAACGACCAGTGAAAAGCAAGGAAGGCAAGATAATCTAAACATTGAAGAACAACGAAACAGGTGGGTAGAACACTTCAAAGAACTCTTGAATCGACCAGCCTCACTGAACCCACCCAACATCGAAGCAGCACTCACGGACCTCCCAATTGATGTTGGCGCACCGACAATTGAAGAAATCAGCATGGCTATCAGACAAATCGAGAGTGGCAAAGCAGCAGGACTAGACAGCATTCCAGCAGAGGCACTGAAAGCAGACGTAGCGGCAACTGCAGGGATACTCCAAACTCTCTTCAGAAAGATCTGGGATGAGGAACAGGTACCAAAAGACTGGAAAGAAGAACTTCTGGTCAAAATACCAAAGAAAGGCGATCTCAGCAACTGTCACAACTACAGACGAATCACTCTTCTCAACAGGGTATTGTTAAACAGGATGAAGGACTAAGTAGACTCCCAACTTCGAGACCAACAGGATGAATTCCGTAAGACTCGATCATGTACAGACCGAATAGCAACTCTACAGATCACTGTGGAACAATCAGTTGAATATAATTCATCGCTCTACGAAAAAAAATTTGATAGTGTGGACAGAACAACCCTATGGAAGCTTCTTCGACACTACGGCGTGCCTCAGAAAATAGTCAATATCATACGGAATTCCTACGATAGATTAAACTGCACAATCGTGCATGGATAACAGTTGACAAAGTCGTTCGAAGTAAAGACCGGTTTCAGGCAAGGTTGCTTACTCTCACGCTTTTTCTTGATCCGGGCGATCGACTGGATCATGAAGACGCCAACATCTAAGGGGAAGCACGGGATACCGTGGACATCTAGGATGCAATTGGATGATCTAGACTACGCAGATGATCCGGCTCTTCTATCTCACACGCAACAAAGAATGCAGGAGAAGACGACCAGTGTAGCAGCAGCCTGAGCAGCAGTAGGTCTCAACATATACAAAGGGAAAAGTAAGATTCTCCGATACAACACAGCATACACCATTCCAATCACAAATGACGGAGAAGATTTGAAAGATGTAAAAACCTCTACATATTTGGTGGATCTGATGCAGATATGAAGGCGTGGATCGGCAAAGCATGAGCAGCATATTTACAACTGAAGAACATCTGACACTCAAAACAACTGTCTGTCAACCGACACCAATGTCAAGATTTTCAATACAAATGTCAAGACAGTTCCGCTGTATGGGGTGGAAACTTGGAGATTTACTAAAGCTATCATCTAGATGAAACAGGTGTTTATTAACAGTTGTCTACGCAAAATACTTCGAGTCCGTTGACCAGACACTATTAGTAACAACCTACTGTGGGAGAGAAAAAAGCAGAATCCAGCGGAGGAAGAAATCAGGAAGAAGCTCTGGAAGTGGATATGACGCACATTGAGAAAGCACACAACTGCGTCTTCAAAGCCAAAGGAAAAAGAAGAAGACCAAATAACACATTACGCCGGGAAGTGGAGACAGACATGAGAAAAATGAACAAAAATTGGATAGATCTGTAGAGAAAGTCCCAGGAAAGAGTGGATTGGAGAATGCTGGTCGGCGGCTTATGCTCCATCGGGAGTAACAGGCGTAAGTAAGTAAGTAAGTAGGTAAGTAAGTAATAGCTCATTATCATTGTTGTATATATGTTACCAGAACTATCGATTTAACAGTCGATAGTTCTCTTAAAACTGTCACACTTTCCCAAACTATAAATCATGATGTCAAGTACACCAACTCTGTTAGCTATAGTCGGTGTAGATTCTTGGTTACTATATCTATATTTACTTGTAAATGATATGATGGGATAAACAATTAAAATTACGTTTATTTACTCATTATGACTTATGTTGAATATGAATTCTGTTTTGTAATTCAGTATAATGAATATTTGTATTGTCTTTCAGTATGATATTTCATTCGGTATAATATACGATATTCATGTATTAAATTAACGTGAACTATGATAAGCATGACATGCAACATGTGATTTGTTATAATTCCCTTGTACCAATCTGGATGTTCTTACATCTAGTTATATAAAATTATAGTGGTTCCTTATTATAAAATTATAAGTAATAAACAATTCTGACATAACAATTAGTGACAACTATTGATGACACAATCATAACAGTTTAAATCAATCATACTTATAACCAATTCAGGTGTAAAGCTTTATGAAGACAATGTTCGGTTACTATCAGTTTAAATGTGTTGCTGTGGTTACTGTGTTTTTTTTTTGATATAATTTATTCTATCTAAAGATTTATGTGAAATAACTTTTCAACTTTTAATAAAGTTTCTTATATACTACTCATTACTACTATCATTTCATTGAATAGAAATATCTGCGATGTATACGAGTCCTGATCCATATATATATGCATGTGTAATGTTTGAATGAACTAATGATTCCTTTGTACTTGTCGAATGCTTGATTTTGAATTTCAAATACAATACATTCGTTAGTGTTTGTATAGTACGTCTTGATTGAATTGTGTTATTTCTGGGATTCATCTTAGTTACTACTATAATTTAAATGCCCCCCCCAATTATCATATAATATGTCAAACCATCATTATCAGGAATGATATAAACAAATGCATTACAAATTATACCTTAGTTACTGGTAAGTAAAGGTCAATTTTTACAAGTTTTTCTTTCTTCAATTCATTCACCTAATTTGTATATACTGGTAACCATTAGATGACAACTGGTTGTTATGAGTAACAAATCTGTAAAATATATAAATATATTATCCTATTCATATTACTTGTAAAGGTTTTATTCAATGAAATAATAAGTAAGTATTATATTATTCTCGCATAGTTTTTATATTATTATCGAAATATACTCATACTGTATTAATAAATTGTCACTATTCCAACTGACTTATACCTGTTATCTCTCGTGGAGGAACATAGACCACCTACCAGTATTCCTCATTCGAACTTTGTAGTGTTAATCATTAATTCTATGCATTTGGGAAACTAATGTGTGGGATTATTGGCGTAAAATTTTGAGTGATGAATCACTCAGCTCGTGTATCGATGAAGAGTGCAGCCAACTATGTGAATTAATGTGAATTGTATACTAACTTGAACATCTACATCTTGAACACATATTGCGGCTATGAGATATTCTGTGACCACGCCTAAACGAAGTTTGGATTTTGGTCTATTACAAGTGCCTGCAAGCATTTATATCCCTATATTAACGCGGGTCGCTGATCAAAGGCTCCGTCCTAAGAATTCAGCCATGGCTTAGCCCGGTTTAGATGACTTGATTGAGATGCTGTGGTGGGTTGTGCTCGAGTCGTGACTTAATGATATTATACACGCTCGGGAAAAATCTCATCTATCACGTTAACTAATTGATCTTGTCTCTACGGTCTGGTCTATGGTTTCTACCGATGGTATGTGCATTACACACAAATTATATAATTTCCCCTGACCTCGGATCAGACGTGATTACTTTCTTAACTTAAGCATATTTCTAAGCGGAGGAAAAGAAACTAACAAGGATTTCCTTAGTAACTGCGAGTGAACAGGGATTAGCCCAACACCGAAGCCTGCGATTAATTGATCGTGAGGCAATGTGGTGTTTAGGTTGGCTTCAGGCTTACTACTCAATCATTCAATGTAATCAGTTTAAATTTCAAAAATATTTCCACTCAGATAATAGACAAAACTTTAGTTTTGAAGGAATTTGACGCATTATCAGATATCTTGATTGTATCGGGTTTTAATTTGTCATCATTAATAGTGTTTTAGATGTTTAGACTCTGAAGTTGTTTTGGCTATCGTTCCTCTTGTTTTCATTTGTATTCCTCTCAGTGATATTCATTGAATAGATTATTATTTTCATAAGTAATATCACTATGTATAAACTATTAGTCAAAGTGATATTATCACAACATCAACACTCGTACACACTTATAGTTGAGACTCAATATATTTTCTGACATGTAAGTGTTCTTTTTCAAGATGGTAGTTGGAAGTAGTCAGCAGGAAACCGTGAACGTAGGTTTCGAGCTACTTGACACTCGTCAGCAAGGTGTACCTGTAATCTTGAGGTAGATGATGCTCCCTGACGGATTCTGTTGCAACTTTAAGTTCGGCTAGTTATCACATAATTTATTCACTTTTGTACTGTACTCAACCAATGACGTTCAACCGGTATGAGCAGCCTAGCATCCTTAGTGATTCTTTGATCGCCTAGCCCGTCCAGTTAAGTCCAAAACACCGATAACAGCTTCCACTATACAAATCACATATTTCAAACATACTTGGATTATATACCAGTCAAACAGACAGTATCCCACCATAAAATAGAAAATAACATTTATACAAGATCAAGCTAAAATGTGGCTGTGAACGTGGGAGACTATAATCAATAAACTGAACATAACTTAATAACAGTAAATCGTACAGTAATTAATTACCAAATAGTTATAACATAAGAACATATAAATAATATTAGTCCATTAATAGTTCTCATAAGTTACTCATAATTTAATCTTCACTAGGATATAACAGATTCGATCCCGTATCACTCAAATTCACAGTCAGACACGTTATCACTGGATTATCCGCGCAGTGACTGATCTCCTGTATGACTGAGATGTATTTACAATTGGTTAATCACTGGGTAGTGATCAATGTCATGTATGTCAGGTTATTTTTAGTGTATATCAAGTCACTTAGACTAGTGGCCAAATTACAACTTGATCGATAGGAATCAATCTTCATTAAGAACGACCTGACATACATGACATTGATCACTACCCAGTGATCAATTAATTGTGTTCTTTCTTAAAATAATAACTGATAAGTGACTTCCATTGAAACACATTTCATTTTCTTAAATCACAGGTGAATATATTGAATCATGAAGACAAATCAATTACGAACAATCAATTTACTGACATGCTTAATTATATTTCATTTGATAATCAATTATTGGGATTTGACACAAGCGCGAAGATCAACATCATCAAGGAACACAATAGTAAAACATAATACTATTCACAAAACTATACATACACATTCTTATAGGCAACCTGCAAGAATTCCTCAACATAATCAACAACAACAAATACCTAAACAATATAATTCCACATATAATTATCTACAAAATATACAACCATTATATACTATTAAAAGGCAAATAAAAGGAGATAAGATTAGAGAAGAATCTCAATCATTTGATAGATATCCTACTTTACATGAACCATATAAAAGATTAAATAATTATCAACAATATAATAATTACTTAAATGAACAGGTACCGATTGATGAACAAGTTGGATATCTATTACCACTTGGAGATTAAATCATAAAGAATAGTGACTTAATTGTTTTATTGATTAGTATTCAGTTCCCCTATTAATAACTAATTAAATGATATGTATACTGGTGATATTTATGTTTATACATATTTAAATATAAATGTATAATTTTATTTAAACAAATATAAATGATTTTTATATTGAACAGTTGTGTTCATGAGTTAACTGAAGCTAGACCACTATGGGAAAATTTGGAAGCATTGGACCTCCATTTTGTCCTAGTATAAGGATTGACTCAGTGTAATGAACATGAACACGAGTGGGGACGAACAAAAGTACCCGACGATAAATTACAGAACTAGTTAGTAAAATTTAACAACCACATATTAAATGGTCAATTTGCAAAATGTTCATCAATTGTCTCAAAATGACTCAGACTTTCTTTGTTCTTGCATTTTCACACTAATTGTATTGTGTTTTCATTCTTTACAATTCGATCTTCTTGTCTCTCTGCTGCCAGACATTCTGTTTACGACTAACATCATATACTACTTATGTATACATAAGTAGCCCACACCAGATCAGTAGTGCGTATCTATGATCTCACTCATTGGATTCAAACCGAGGACCTATCAGTCTCTCGCGTAAACGATTAACCTCTAGACCACTGAGCAGGCCGGCCAGAAATCAAAAGCACAAAATTTATCTTAAGTACGATACTACTACTACTACTACTACTACTACTACTACTACTGCTACTACTTCTACTACCACTATTACCATTACTATTACTACAAAATATATTGAATACATTATAAACTGTGGTATGTGAAATATCTATAGTATTCTCTGGGTAACTTTAAAATCAAGGAATGACATGTAGCACGATGGTTATATGAAGGTTATTTGCGACAGAATATGATAATTGAATTCATGAGTCTATCTAAACTAAACCATTATTCTTCTACGAGGCATCGTGGATATGCACAGTTGAAGAGTCCCACAATAGGATGAAACGGTCGTCTAGTAGTTCCAGGTACTCCTTGGTGGTGTAGCTAAAATTGACCTATGAATTCATCTATTCAAATTAATACAGTCTCCACAAATCACTATTCTGACAGAAACAATTTGTTTGTTCTTGTAATAATACTATTATTATTACTAACATGTCTGTATGATCATGTGTGCTAGATCATATGTTACAACCTATGTACATATCCCTCTGTCAAACTTAAACGTTAGTTCCTGAAATCACCCAGCATCGTCCGTGTTTTTGATAATGTTTTTAGTGTTTTCGGAGGGTGATTAAAACTTTATTTTGCCATAGGTTTTCGTTATCATCTTACACTATGGAGATCAAAATTATTCCTGTTCAAAGTTATTTCACTTATTCTAGTTAACTATTCATCATGACAGCATATATTAACGTATATTACACTCCTCTACTAATTGAATGTCATTACATAACAGCTCTATTATATTTTCAAACAACTCTAGTGACAAATTAATTAATTAATAATTAACTATACTGCTGGAAATCCACGAAAGCCATTATCCAGAAGATACAGGTGTTCATTAACAGTTGTCTACGCAAAATACTTCGGATCCGGTGGCCGAACAGTATTAGCAACAACCTACTGTGAGAGAAAATAAACCACTTTCCAGCGGAGGAAGAAATCAGGAAGAAGTGCTCTAAGTGGATAGGACACAGATTGAAGAAAGCACCGAACTGCGTCACAAGACAAGTCCTCATATGGAATCCTCAAGGTCGAAGAAGGAGAGGAAGACCAAAGAACACATTACTCCGTGAAATGGAGATAGACATGAGAAAAATGAACAAGAATTGGATGGAAGTAGTAAAGAAATTCCAGGACAGAGTGGGTTGGAGAATGCTGGTCGGCGGCCTATGCTCCATTAGGAGTATCAGGCGTAAGTAAGTAAGTAAGTACACTGCTGTTCATCACAAACAACAAAGTGACAGTTTTTAGACTCCCATTATCTAACTCCGATATGGATGACTCAATAATGATATAAATGAAATATGAATCATACTCACTTTGTATATGTTATGTTGACCTAAAGAATTTAGAACAACGCTAAATCAAAAGTTGAAATACTAGTGTTTCGGATGTTTATAGTTCATACATTCATCTCGCCAGTCTAGCAAGAATAGATGCAGCGGTTGTATAAACAGATGAAGTCCGGTAATACACCCATTCAGAGAACAACTAAGCGTTAAATAGCGCCATCAGAACCTATGAAACAGCGACGCATTTCCATTATGCGGTAAGAAATTCTCATTTCCATAGAGATCAGAGGCCGTACATTAAATTTGTATGTTGCAGAAACGGCTGTTGAACACCTAGCGGTTCCTCACAGCCGATTACAAGAATGAAGCAATCTGAATAATGTTATTATATTGTTCATGAAGGACTTCAATGAACGCTAAATGTCTGGCCTTCATCTTTTGTAAGTTTAATGAAAGTTACTGGGAATGTTCATCATAATCATGAGTGTGATTCCCTGAGGTACGACAATAATTCTTGAATGCTAAGGTAACGAAGGCTGAATTTGAAGCAATGCGACCACTTCTGATTTCTGAGACAGTAGCATTCAATATTGTGCACTTCGTTTACCAACAGACTGTGTGACATTTGCAATCTTGCTCAACCGCCAAATGTCCGTCTATTATGTTTAACAAAGTAAACCAATGATTTAAAAAATGATTCCAAACTTTGTAAATAAGTAACCTATGGGATCTTATTTACAAATGACATTAAAACAATTAAGATAATGATTTAGTCAGACGGTATACTGACAAAACATTTGCTGTTTACATTACGTGAATGAAAGTGTAATGCTCACTACACAAGCACAATAACCGATTTACATGACTGAATACATAAAGAAGTGTCGTTTTTTTTTGTCATAATTATAAACTGCCTGTTATAACGTTCCATCGTCGATTGTTATAACGCTCGGTATTACCTTTTCTGATATTGTAACGCTTAACGATTATCTACACTAGATCCCTCCCAGTGTCTGTCCTACAGGATTTCAACACAACTCAGATCAAGAACGTAATATATTTCACACCCAAAAACCCGACACAATCCACAACAATGAACAATCAATAATAATGTAAATAAGAGTGAGAGTGTCCCAATAATAAGGGTAAGGGAATATATAACTTATCTGACACCTGTCAGACTGTCTACATGTCTGACTAAGCAGAAAACCAATCACGATCGTTCTCGCCCACACAACACTGCCCAACTACATAGAACTTACAATGTACAGTATTGAAAAATAATAAACACTTTTAATGGATTAACATAATGAGGTAATTACAATCCTGCGTTTATTTACGACACCCCTTTTAATACTAAACAAAACAACATTGCAACTTGGTTGATAGAATTCAATTTACACTACGAAGGATCGGACATATATGACATTGATTACAACCCAGTGATCAAACAATGGTAAATACCATGTACATTTAATGATGAAATGATAAATAGCATTACTGAATGAAAATATCAGTCATGTAAATTGGTTGTTGTGCTTGTGTAGTGGGCATTAAATTTTTTATAAAGTAATGTCAACAGTAAATAGTTTACGGTTGACAACCGCAACATTATTTAAACGACGGTTGTGTTTCCCCATCACCCATTGATGAGAAATTTTAGAGTGTAATTAAAAACAATTTAGAAATTGATGATTGGTGAATGTGTTTTTGAAAGTATGTGCTCAAGTGATAATAAACAAACAGACAAGTTTAATGATGTGAAAGGAAATCGACTTAATACATTTGAACTTCATTTGTTGAATAATTTCATTTGCCTAAAACTTTACTACTTGTAACAATTCAGTAGTTTGATTTAGATTGAAATATTTCCAAACGTTTAAATTAATACAGATGTTTGTTAGCAATAGAATTCTAGATGCCCGAATCGTCCATTCTATTTGTTACGCGTCAGTTGGATGAACATGTATCTAATACTTAATGTTCACTCAGAGAATCCACCTAAATCAAATGAACAAAATATATATGGATTACAATAGTTTATTATACAAATTATTTAAAACTAATGTTCAGTTTGTGGTTGTGGAGAATGTTGAATGTCATTAAAATCATGAACCAAACTAGCAAGAAATAGAAGTCAAATTCTTTCAGGTTCACAACAGTGGTCTCAATTAGATCACTTCATGCTTTGAACGAAACTCAACAAACTCAATAACACCAGTAGTGAAAATTATCACGTGCTAACTAGTACCAAGCTTCGAGGGGAAGTTTCAGGAGTTTTATTGAAAAGCTTTGATCAATGTAGATAAACCTTGTCACGAGTGAATTTGTCACCCACTGTAAACAGTAAAAGTTGATTGCGCAATATCGTGGATTGATTGTCGTTCGATATTGACACTGTTGGACACTGTCTAAATGGTATACAGATTAAGCGTTTGCTCACGATACCGAATGTGATGTGTTGGATTCTGAAGTGTGGGGGGCATGAATGCAGAATACTGAAGAGTCACACACTCAAACAATCAGCGCTCAATGCTTTCAGGCTTTCAATATTGATACAAAATTGATCAGTTACTGATATCAATGAGAATTATTTGCACAATCCACTAGTTGACCACATACTAACAAAGACTAGTATGATACATTCGATCATTCTTTAATCTAACCTTAAATTTACCTTTCTCAACTAATTAATGTATGTGCCTCGATCGCTAAAGGTATTGAAGTGCATTCTAGGTTGTTCGTGTCTTACTACTGATGTCAAACTATTGACAAATGTTTACTGTTTTCGTCCAAACATTTCGGAAATCAACACCACGTCATTGTCAATCGGATGATATTGAAGAAATATAAATAATAAATATATCAGTACACTATACTTTACGTCCAATCTGACAACGAAACATCGGAAAAGTCCATTACTACAGACATCTGATTACTTCCTCCATTACCTCGTTTCCAGGAATATAACACATTTCAATGAATCCCACTTATCCACATGGAACACCGTACGTGTAACTCAGTGAGTCGATCAGAAATATTTCATTCAACGCAACATACCACACAATACACGTGAGTTGTCTAAATGCATACTAGAATGATCGACAATGGTTGTCATCATTTTAATACAATAACAAAACACAAGATAAAACAAAATGAATGTTTGAAATAACGAAGAAAATCCAATTTGTTTTGCTAAGTGTATGTTGATAAACAGGTATTCTCCTCATCTCCATAGATGTGCATCAGGACAAGGTTTTGTTGAAGCTAGACTATCGATTTCACAAACTGGAAATGAGACGTAAAGAACTCAAGAGTAAATAAATCAATATGAATAGGAAGGTGTGTATTCTTACAAACGAGGAGATCATGTGCGATAACTTCATGATATTTACATCTGAAAATGAACATTGCCTAATCAAATGTTTCTTCTCAATATTGACAAGTTCTTATATAGAGGAATTATTCCTCATCAAGTTCAAACAAACTGTGTTATCTCAAAAGATTTACATCATAATACAACTTTTAATTGGATTCTATCATTCAGTGGATACTTTACACAATCTGTCATTACTGATTACATTCTTTCTTGTTGATGGTTGAATAGCAAGTCAGTTGTGTCTCTGAGTCAATGTTGCACACAATGAGATAGATGGTTGTGAATTGTATCTGTTCAACAAGTTGACATGATTTGACAAAATGTATGCCAAATGCATTCCACAACTAGTACCACTCTTGATATTGTAACATGGATTCTATTGAGGTTGTTCGGTGTGATCTAGGTAATTTTAATTTGTATGGAGATTGATCTATGCCATTTTAATAGTTAGTTGGTGATACTTCAGCACACATTATGTTTAAATGACCACTTGGTGTTTCGTCTCGTAAGACATCATCCACATTCTGAATAGACTACTAGATATGTAGTATTTAGAAAGTATCTAATTTATCCAATTCATCTGGGCATACCACCAAACTGATAATGATGCCGATGTGGCTAGATTATTTGTAGTGTGATCATTAGTATTGATATCAGATTGTCAAAGCGTGTCACTTCACAGTTCATAATTCATCACTATCATTCTTTCAATTACAAATAAATCGAAACAATTAACACTTTCACACTGTTCACCAAACGGTTTCATAGACATGATTGAGGAATAATTAGATATACCTTATGTAACTACTTCCTTACATACTGTAGGGAATAACGACACTATCACCAATCAGTCATGCAATAGACTGCACTCTATTAAGCTTCACTGTATTATTAATAAAACAATTATCTTGATTGTTGTAGTGGATATGTGTTTAGTAGACAAGTTTGTCATTTCTCATACCAGTCATGTCCACGAAAATATGTTGAACATAATTGTGTCATTATAACTGTCACCTTTGTATTTCAAACGGGAATTCCCTATTCATTCAAGATTTCTATCTGATATCGATTGGTTTCGCTTCCGTAACTTATCAACATAATACTCCTCATGAAGAGAAAATTAAATTTCCATCAATTTGGTGAGATGAGTCGACTAATCAAAGTCTTAACAACACAATCGACAGCTTACATCCATATCGAGCTGAGTTTGAACAGTTCAACAGTACTAACACTAAAACACTAGTTGACTTCCTCATCAACATTGGAACACTGTTCTACATTGAATTTTATTTCAACCTATCCTCGATTAGTAAATCGAAACCACTTGACTTTACCAAAATCAAAACTGAACAGAAATACAGCTATTCAATTATATTTAAACACACGAAGATAAACAGTCAATATTTATCTAAGTAATCACAGGATTTCAGATCATCTCCATTGAAATATTTACCAACACTTCCATTCTCAATCTAATTTCAGTTTATTTCAATTCACGTTTCTCAATATCACCCATAACCTGTCCTTCAGCGATCTCATCATATAGATTTGACTCGCCAATCGGTTGAAAACGGTTCATTTGACTTTCATCAAATCCTATGTTATCGTAATATTGAGGTTGTTCAAAATGTGGGAATCGTTCAGGTTGCATAACTATCCCTCCCATTTGCATATTATGTCCCATGTATGGATATCCATGCTGCTGCTGCTGTTGTTGTTGTTGACCTTGTTGTGAAGGATAGTAAGGTTGTGCTAGTCTTAACTGTTGTTGACGTTTCATCATTTGTGATTGACCAATCGGTTGTGCATATCCACTCTGTGCTCTGTATGAATTATAAGATTGTGAGTATGCGTTCATTGGTTGTTGTGCATTGTAGTTATTTCTCCCTCCCATTTGTCTCTTCATCATCATATTGGATGAGTAGTATTGTTGTTGTTGTGGTTGTTGTTGTTGTTGCAATGATTGTTGTTGCTGTTGTGGTTGTTGCATTGATTGTGATTGTTGTTGTGGTTGTTGCATCGATTGTGATTGTTGTTGTTGTCGCATTGGTTGTTGTTGGCCATTGGAATACTGATTTTGCATCGACTGTAGGCTTCGCTTTACCGTCGACACGTTTCCACTTTCGTTCTTACATTGCAGATTATTAATCTGTTCACTCAATACTTCCATTTCTTCGTGAAGCTTAGCTCCCATTTGTTCAATGTTCACTAACTCTTGTTCTAGGTGTTTAATACCTGATCTTGAAGGTGCAGGCCTTCTTAAACTGCTCACCAGAACACACAGGACTGAGAATATCAGCAAGTAAAATATGAAACAGTTGATTGTCCTCATAGTTCAGTCTGAACACCTGTCAAACAGAACACAACATATGAAACACTTAGCACGAAGTCTCTAGTTAACACTATTCAACTAACCAGTTTCATAAAAGACACGTATTTTGCGTACAAAGCGATTCGCACATGGTATTGGTTCAATGAGTAGTCAATAAATATTGATTGTAGAAGGATACACAGTCGAAGAGTAGTGGAAACTCTTATAAATCTGAATTCGAAACATCACATTTGTGGCAGTCGACACTCACTAAACCATCCAGTATCATCGGACCTATCAGAAAATACGACAGGTTTTGAATCAATCAGTCTATATACAAGTTCTCAACTCGAATATAGTTAGTTTGTAATACATCACAGCATGTAATCAGTGTCCTGATTCAACGAGTCACTGGCTCCTAACACTACACTACGGAATCCATCGGGAAGTCAAATTCTAACGTACTGACAACCATAATTCACCAAGTTGTTTTGTGCCAAAGTTTGTTTAGTCTGAATATGGTTCTCATCACAAAACAATCACAGGAATGTCTAACAAATTACTTTGATGAATGAGTGGTATTGGGAAGAATTGCATTGTGGAAGTAGTGACAGTGTCTATACAATCATTACCTCTTCAAATATTCATGAATGTATTTAATTTACTCAAATTGCATATTAGTAGAAGGTAATCAGTTTTGTGGTCATGCAATCATCCAGAATATATTTTACCATTTCACATTAACTGTGTGTTGGGACGATCCAGAAAATTTCTCGCAAAAGACACGCAAGGATCAGGAAACATTAGGAAGCATTTCATCCAATCAGCGTTCACTTGAAGTTTTAGCCAGAAAAATCAAGCATGTGAAACGTCACATGTAGAGATTCTGATTGGCTGATTGTTATACCGCTACTATGTTTAGTAGCATTTCAGAATCTTCGAGCAATCCAAGGCTATTTAGAATATTATAAAAACCCTGTGTTTTCTGTATTAAAATGAACCTTGGAGTAAAGTACATTTCGCATACGTTGCGTCTTATGTCTGGTGTTCAGGTCGCTGTATAGTTCTAGTTTGGGGGTTACCAGAATAGCTTAGGAACCGTGTATAGAGTTCAAATTGCAAGACTTACCGATGTGCCGTGAATATACTCTTGTGAGGTGTCACGTATAAACGTCACTGATTACTGACAATGTTATACATAATTTTCGAGTTATAGATTGTTTTCAGATTTGATCGATTTGTATAACATAAATACAAGTTTTGAGAAAATCACCACTACTCAAATTTCGAAGAATATCAAGCAATGTTTGCTCTTCCCTGTCCAGTACATTCAATCGTTGTTTAAATGAATGGGATGGACAGTTTGTCATTCTAGAGTAGAAAAGCATACACAGTCGATGACAAGTGAATACTATGCGAATTCACTGTGCGAAAACCTAGGAATGTATCCAGAGTTGCGATTGTTGCACAGTGAAGTTATGACATACATTCGCGTGTGGGGAAGCTAATGAATTTCGACAATAGATGAAGTCGCAAATGAAGAAGCTCAGTGAATACCACGATTGAGTAAGTCAATGGTAGTACGGATGAACAAGAACAACGTTATACTCACCTCTTCCTTTAGTAACAAATCTTTTCTAACGTTTCAAATATTATCGCATATTTATATTCCTCTCATTCGTTGTTACCATAACAACTAATTGTCATCTAGTCATTACTCTGCATCACAATCTTGTAAACAAATGAGTAGAAATGACTGAAATTTCAACTACTATACACCTGACAAGTTTGATAGTTATCAATACATCATCTACACATATATATATATGTGTGTGTTATTTGTGACACCTTTTTGGATCGAATGAACTACCATCATATATTCGGTCATAAATCTAACCAGTTTTGAATGAGGGTCCTGCATATTTTGTTTGATGATACTTGTTAATTGTCAAAAAATTGGGAGAATAATCTGAAAAGTAAATTGTTTTGAAGGTAATTTACGGTGAACTTGTATCAAATAGTTTCACTGTGTGTTTGTCAAGCTAATGGTTTTTAGTACTTTGACATGACACCAATTAGCGTGAATGAGTGAAAGATCTATCTCAGATATTCTAGGTAAGTTCTCATTTGGTCTATGATTGGTTGGACAACCAGGCCCTGGAATGTAGTGATCGTATTATCTAATCTCAATATCCACGTCATAGCGGCAAGTGAAACTGAAATACAAACAGATGAATCTTTTAACATTCCAGTCCAATAAATAGATAACGGTGACCATATGTTGGATTTATAATAAGACAAGCGCTTATTATTAGTAAGTACAAATTTTGGACATAAGAACAGACAATATTTAGTCTGGTTAAACTGATGTCAAAACATCATTGAATACTAATAGATCATCTATCTATCAACCATAGTTTGAAAGGCTCATCAGAAGTCTGTCACTTCTCTATGAGAGTATACTAACACTTCGATCAGACTTCAGTGAGAAAACACGATAGAAAGATATAGTATACATCCACTAAAAAATGATCAGATCAAAGATGAATTCAGGGAAAAATTAACTATTCTCTAATTAGCCATGGGGAAAAAACTTCGTTCTGAAGAAACATAACATCATAACCGAATAGCGGTAATTAAAACAGCAATATCTGAAACCAATTCAATTACAAGGGTTAAAAAAGATCAGTGAATTTTGATAACATCTTCTATCTCGACAGATGCTCTAAAACTCATCCCAACAGACACGAAGAATTATGGAATGTGACGATAACTTAAACTTAGGACAACTAGATGTTTACGCAATGATCGTGAGTTGTGATGAGTGAAGAACTATAAGGGATGAAAGCGGGTACAGTGATAGATAACATGAGATGACTATTCCGGTCAATCAGGTTGACAGTTATCCATAAGCCAGCTATTAATAAGACTGTCTGAAAAAGAGACGAAGCCTTTGTTCACGGTTAGTCCATGAGGTTATACAGATGGGGTAGAACACTATAAAATAGTTCAACCAACCTCCAGCTACCCTCTAGTTACCTTTTATTTCCAGACCACATGAATAGGAGACTGACACAAGTTCTTCGACTCAGTGAAGTTTAGAAGACGATGTAGAGCAGATGAATATGAGAGGTTGACCCCACCGTTCTTTAATGGCCGTGCTTCAGAAGTGTTCTGCGTCAATGCCTAAATTAACGGTAACGGGTTAAGTGGTTGAATATATTGACTAGTTTATTGTCTTTATTGTCTCATCATCTCTAGAGGGTTGATATCTAACAAAATCTCGGCACTGATTCCAATAGGTCATTTGGCCATTGCCAGCTCGTATCAGTTTTGATATAGGTTAAATGTTCGTCTGACAGTTAAAGGGTGAGCGTACTGAACAGTAGCCCATTCTGTAATAATTTATGTTCATTAAAAAATTTCATATTGCAGTAGAAAACAAGAGTATGATGCACATTTATGATCATAGGTGACTTTTAAACTTTGCTAACAGGTCGTTGAACAACCGAATGAGCAACTTGATGTTTACGTATAAGGTACTGGGCAGCGGAGACAAAGCTCTTGAAAGGGGTTGCAAATCTTCAACTGTGGTGGTTATGATATCAACTAAGTAGCACCGACCATTACCTATCTCAAAAGGTGATATTTACTGGAGTAAGAGTAGGCTGAAAGAAGTTTGGACACAACAAAACTAAAACACCAAACCATTCATTGACTGATGGTCTGCACCATGTTTATAGGTACTGACTATCTGTTTGGGGTCGGTGCGTTAATGTTGATCCGTGATTGTATAATACCCTGATACACAAACAACTTTGTAGATGCTTAGATTAACTAAGCCTTTAGTTTAACTTACAAGGCTAACAGACTGTCGTTTTATCCCATAAAAGTTTGCTTATACTTTCATACAAATATTCTTGCTTACAAAAGTAAGTTCCTATTCCAGTGCTTGTGTGTCAGCTTTCTCTCTCATTCTTTGATCTGCTTAATCATTAGTTGATTGAAACGTTTGATAATTCATTTTCTTCTGAAAGCATAATCGCTTGCGAATTAGTACAAAAGGATTTATTCACTGTTCTGCATGCTGCACTATAAATAAACTGTCCCTAAAACATTTTGTGTCAACATTTAATCATCATGAATTATTAGTGTACTTACGTGTTAACGATAATTTAGTTGAAGAGTACAGGAAGTTAGATATAAGCACTAAACCTTCTCACAGCAGTCAGAAAGATTGGACAAAAAAAAACTTACAATCGATACCAAAGACACAGGTACATTCACTCTTCATCTTCCTCCAAATCTTTGGTTCCACTTTCCCTTCACAGATAACATTTTAATCTGTCTTTCAATACCATATCTTCAATGTCAGATATTCCCTATCAATATTACTGAATTATTTCGACTCCTATATTAACCATATTTATAGTTTCATATTGATGTGGTAGTGAGATATAGTAATGTGGAAAAATGCGTATTTTTGAAAAATTCTATGCTAACTATAGCTAACAGAGTTGGTGTGCTTGACATCATGATATATAGTTTACGAAAGTGTGACAGTTTTAAGGGAGCTATCGATAGCTAAATCGATAGTTCTGGTAACATGTACACAACAATGATCATTAGCTATTATTGTGAATTAATCAACTCACAACAGTACTTATCATCCATTATATTAAAAACACGGTGCATAATTATTCCACTCTGTTGACCGATGTTCAGTTGGCAGTAAATGTCTCATGACCATGGTTTCACTATTTAAATCCCATCCTGTAACTTCAGTAATAACGTATTTTTGACGGTGTTGTAACTTCCGACTTCTCCTGTATTGATTTTGTGTCAATGCACACAACTGTCGTTAAATATACATTGATAGTAAG